AATCGTTTTGGTTCAATCTTTGGCGTTAAACCGAAAAATTCAATTTAGCGTCGAATTTGCGTCGAACCGAGTTCGCTTCGATGCAAATTCGACGGTAATATGAAATTAAAGACCGCCAACACGCGCGAAAACCAAAAATATTTGGTTATTTTATACGCGAACCGACGCTAATTCAACGCTAGTTTGCGTCGAATTAGCGTCAAAATACCAGAATTAGCGTCGAATTCGCGTATTAATAAACCCTCCCCGATCCTTCTTCCTAAGTTTCTGTTTGCCAAATTCTTCCTCAGTTTTTGTCGAATTCTTCCTCAGTTTCTCCTCCTCTCTCTGTCGATTTCTTCGTCCTCTCTCTTGATTTCTTCCTCCTCTCGCCGAACACAAATCCATCAATTGAGGAAATGGTATGTGTAATTTTCTTTTCATTTCTTATGTTTATAAATTTGTTATGTGTATTAGTAATTGATTTGTAGGAAATAGAATGGATTTGTAGAAAATGGAATGGATTTGTAGGAAATAGATTTGTAGGAAATGGAATTGAGTTTACATTTGATATGGTATTTAGTATAGATTTATTTATGAATTTATGTGTTTGTATTGATAAGTTATATATAAAATTTATAAATTTATGGAAAATAAAAACGAATTTATGAATTTATATGTTATGAAATTATTTTTCAAGTTATTTATGGAAAGTAAAATAAAAACGAATTTAAAATATACAAGTCTAAAATGCTGGATTTTATGAATTTAAAATATAAATTATTTAAAATAAAAAACAAATTTACAAGTATTTTTCAAATTATTTATGAAAAATATAGAATTATTTTCAAATTGTTCTATCAAATAATTTGACAAGTTAAATTGATTGGTTTATGGAAAATATAAAAATTTTTGATTTAAAATTTATGGAATTATTTTACAAGTTATTTATGGATTTATGTGTTTGTATTGATAAGTTATATATAAAATTTATAAATTTATGAAAAATAAAAAAAAATTTATGAATTTATATGTTATGAAATTATTTTTCTAAAATAAAAACGAATTTAAAATATAAAATTATGGATTTTATGAATTTAAAATAGAAATTATTTAAAATGAAAAACGAATTTACAAGTATTTTACAAGTTATTTATAGAAAATATAAAATTATTTTTCAAATTGATTTAGGTGTTTTAATTCATATTTTATATATAAAAATTAAGAATTTATGAATTGCTCTATCAAATTATTTTACAACTTTTTTATTTATTTATTTATGTATCTTAGGAAAATAAAAATGAATTTATGAATTTATATTTTACATATCTTAATTTAATAAATTTGTTTTATTTTATAGGCGGAGGCACCACCTACGTACGGACAGTTATTTAGCGAGGATGCTACGATTCTCGGATTCGTGAACGGTCATCGCGGATCAGGATCAGGATCAGGGTCGGGTTTGCAAACTTCGACCTATCGTCCAGGGGCTCCACCACGATTTGCACCAAGAGCT